CCTCTGTGGCCTCTTTGATTAGAAGAAGCACCTGATTCTCTGTATCAGGCAGGGTTTTACTACAGTTACAGATATAACATAAGATGTAGAAATGTATAAGAAATTCCAAGATTGGCTTATAATCTTCACCCTGGAGACTGAAAGATTCAGTCCAAGGTCTGGAGCCCACTGCAGTTTTCCATGCAAGTCCCTATCAGGAAGCCAGTGGATCTACAATAGGAGGCTGTTGAGTCTCCACCAGAAGGCTGAAAGATGCAAAGCAGAAGCCAAGAGTCTGTGCTAGAGCCAGAAGATGACGTCCAAGCTGATGGTGAAGACTAGAGCTCCTCTGAGGAAGAACAGGACCCGCCATCCTTCCTCATTCTCCTTAACTAATGAGTCATTCTAGAGTGTGGTCTCCACACTGTAGAGTGTGGAATTGCTGAGCCAGTTTAGTCAAGCTCTGAGCTTCTCAAGTTGACACAGTCAACCAACTTCTACATTCTCCATGCTGCTGTTTTTCCAAGTTGGAATACAACATAGAACATCAGGCTCACAGAGCTGAGGCCCATGCTTCCTCCATCTTGGCTGCAATGGAAGCTGGGTAAACAGGCTCTGGAAGGAGTGGGATCACCCACCGGTGGAAGAAGTCTGCTTGAAACATGCCTGGTTCTCCATCAAGCCCATCTACCTGTGCTGTCCACTACTCCAGCCTCAGCCTCACAGGTATCTCTCATAGGAAACGTTTCCTACACAAATGTCTAGACCAGTGGTGGCAAACCTACGGCATGTGTGGTATTTGTTTTTCTTGTAAGACAAAAGATGTTCATGTATAAGTTGTTTTTCTAAATGAAAACCTCAGTATTCAGTTTTGATCACAGTGCTGGTGCTTTGCCACAAATAAGGGGGTTTCAGTCTCTAGAAGGCTTGCCATCGCTGGGCTAGACTCATAAAGCAGGGCCTTGTCTGTTCTGTGCCAGTGGTAGTCTTGCCACACAGCCCTTTGTAACCCTTGTCATCCATTCAGTCCCTGTATAGATGCTTCTAGGTCAGTTTTTCTTTTTGGCTCGATTTATAGACTCTAAAGATCACTAACCTTCCTTGCTGTATTTTTTACACTTTCCTACCAAGTTTTGCCCCTTTTGCTCCCTAGCACATAGGTTGGTTCTCCCTCTTTCCTCTTCAAAAACTGTAAACTCTTTAAAAACAGGAACCATAAACTGGATGTGGTGGCACTCATCCATAACTCCAGCTACTCAGGAGGCTGAGGCAGGAGGATAGCAAATGCAGCCTGAGAGATGTAGTGAGACTCTATCTCAAAAAATCAAAAGGATTAGGGATATAGCTCAGTGGTAGAGGAGTTGTCCAGGGTGGGCAAGGCCTACCCTGGCTTCATTCCTTAGTACTGAAAAAAAATAAATAAATAAAAATGGGATCCATATTTTTTCATCTTTTCATCCCCCATAGTATCCAGTATCATGCTAAGCAGAAAGTAGCTGATTAATAAATATTTTCTAATTAACTACCATTCATTGTGATCTGCATTAATGCTTCTTTCAAAGGGATTTTGATAGGATTTATTTTTAAAATAGTGAATAAGAAATAAAAGGGAGGGGCTGGGGAGATGGCTCAGTGGAATAAGTTCTTCCCTGGCAAGCACAAGGGCCTGAGTTCAATCCCTGGTTCTGAAAAAAAAAAAAAAGAAAAGAAATAAAAGGGAGAGCTAGGAATACTTAGGCTATGGTCTAATAAATCTTTATAGACTCTAAAATTTGAATTTTTTTATGTATTTGGTATAGAGCTATGCAGCTTGGACTCTTAGCAATTCTCCTGTTTTTAGCCTCCCCAGAGCTGGGATTACAGGCATGTGCCACCATGCCCGGTCTCTGTGACTGGCGCAGTGCACCTTGAGGGCAGGGCTGATGTGGCATGTGGTGCCAGGAATCAAACCTTGGTCCCTGAGCTTGCCTAAGCAGGTACTTAGTCTGCTGAGCTATCTCTCCAGGCCTTACATGTTATTTTATTTATTTTTAGTTTTTACATATTACTTTAGTATGACGTAACATACTGCTTTGATTTTTTTTTTTTTTTTATGGTCACTTAAATGGGTAAAAATCACCCTTCGTTTACGGACCATTCTCAAACAGCCAGTGTTTTTGAACCTGTGTCACAGGGTTGGCCTGTGATTACTGACCCCTGCTGTGTATGTGTGTGTGTGTGTGTGTGTGTGTGTGTGTGTGTGTGTGTAGCAGGGGTCCACAGTCAGCTCAGTGTTGTAGATGGCGCCTTTCAGCTTTCATGGGACTTCAAGGCTGAGGTCTGAAGGTGACAGCAGCTTTGGCTACAAGGCTGAGCAGCAGTCTGGGGATTGATGATGAGGGACTGGAACAGAGCAGTGTTAACAAGAAAGTAGAACAAAGGCTGGCTGTGCAACTTGTGTTTTGGAATCAGCTCTGTACAATGTAGTGCTGGATGTGCAGGGTGAGGAGTAAAAGAATGATGCCCCAGCCTCTGTTTAGTAAACAAGTGTTCCACTCAGTGGGATCCTAGATGTCTCACAGACCACTAAAGAATCTCACTGCCTCGGACTGGGCCACTTACAGGGTCTTCCTTTTATCCAAAAAAGGAAAATGGTGTTAATAAACAGCGTCTCAGCTGGTCAGAAGATTTCTCGTCTAGCTGTCAGTAGGAATAGTTTTGCTTACTGTTGAATGTGTCATTCTATAAAAATGGCACTCTAGGGGTCTGCAAGAATTACCCAACCATGGTGACATTTTTTTCCTGGCCTATCCCACCAAAAGCAGTGATATATAGATATATAGATATAGATATAATCTTTTCCAAAATATATAATTGTAGAACATAAACTAGACTTTGCATATCAGAGGAAAAATCAAGTGACTGAATCTAAGATGCTAATTAGGGCAGACTCCCTCTTTCTTTATTTATTCCTAAATCCTTTTCTGCAAATCTCAGTGGTTTTATTCCTTCTCAGCAACAGTGGAGAGAGTGGATATCTTGTAATTTTAATTGTCAGTAAATGTTACATTACCATAAAGCTATACAAGTCACCAGTGTAGTCCTACAAAGCCCTTCCCACTCGCCCTCTTCCAGAGAGTTTTGCCATATGGATATAAGTGAAAACCAAATTACTTCTGTTATGATTCTGCATACTATTTGGGGACCAGGAAGACCACACTAAGTAAGAAACTGTACTACTACACGTCTGTTAGGTCTGCATGAAGGTAACGCTGATGAGATTGGAGAACAGGCAAACTGTGATGTATAATATCACACCCTCCATTCTCATGATGTGGATTTTTACCCATTTTGTGTGTGTGTGTGTGTGTGTGTGTGTGTGTGTGTTTTAGGGAAGAGTCTACAGGGTATTCAGGGTCTTATTACTAGATCAGACTTGTAGTGGTGCACCTGTCTACAGCCTCCCAAGAGCTGGGATTACAGGCACACGCCACCAGGCCTAGTCTCAATTGCAGGCTCAGCATGCCCTGGGGCGGGGCTGACATGGCGATCAAACCCCCGGCTCCTGCACCTGCTTGCAGGTGCTTTAATCCACTGAGCTATTTGACCAGCCCGGATTTTTACCCTTTACTTTTGGTGTTGTTTTCTTTTATCATACAAAGTAACAAGTTCAATTTCTGTAGCATATTTTTCAATCTAAAAGGTTTTGAGGGATTTGTCATACATCAGTAGTATCTAGGTCTGGGATTCTTCAGCTATTATCTGAGGTCACCTATTGAAAAATTTATTATATCAGTTTGTGAGAAAAAAAAAGTGAAGAAACGATTGGCTATCTGAAATGTGCAGCATTAGAAAAGCTGTTTTCATATGTGACAAATGGTTAGCAAGTTATCAAAGCAGATCCCCACATTCTACCGTATGTGGTTACACCAGTTTAGAACACAAGATTTTCATTCATCCATCCATCCATCCATTCATTCATCTTTGGTTCTAGAGATTGAATCCACTGCCTCCTGCTCATAAGCGTGTGCTATACTGCTGAGCTACATGCCCAGCCCTGTAACTTTAAGTAAAAAGATTTTAGCACTCCCTGAAAAAGTCTTCTCATCATTCCTGGTTGCTTACACCTTCCTGCTTGCTGCGTCCCTCTCTGAGCTCTGCCTTGTCACCCTGCAGCACTGTGACTGATTGCATGTGGGCAGAGTGATGGGAGCAGTGTGACAGCCATGACTTGCCCTGATGTTTCCTCCGCCAAGAACTGTGCTTCTGGTCCCTGCCATGAAGGGAGATTTCTAGGTGGCACTCCTAGTTCACAGGTAGGGAACGGAGACCTGGAGACAGAGTAACTCGTCCAGTGCTACAGGGCTAGTCCTTCATGGGGTGGAGCTTCAAAGCTAGCGTCTCGTGGAAGCAGGCCTCCAGGAGCATGCTGCTGGGTGTGCCTGTAGGCCAGCCTGACACTTGGCCCTCATCCTGGGCCCTGGCCCATCTCCCATCTCAGGTCACAGTCAGGCTTTTGGATCAAGTATGAAACTACCACACTGAAGTTTTGTAAGATTAACATACACTCATACAAACATATTAATAAAATACACTTTTACTGATATTCAGTCTTCATGATGCCCAGAAAAACACTCCTGATTGCTTCTGTTCATAGTTTACAGGACTGGCACACATTGTGGTTGTGAATCTGTAGCCATCTGTGTCTCTTATGTCGTGGTCAGGCCAGGGATAGGCTGTTGGCCAGCAACTCAAAGGGGGAAAGAGTGGTATTTGTTGCCCAGTGTGTTCAAAGGAAAGCACTTGTCCTCAGTTATTTGTTGGAATGAGTGGGAGGGGGTAAAGTAGAATCCAGCTTGGGATGGGCAGTGGTTCGGGGGTGTGAGGTTAAAAAGGGACCTTTAAGAAGAAAACACCCCATCACCATCTCCCGTACTGAGGAAGCAGACCTAGATTTTCTTAGCATGTCCCCCCTCAGCCTATCAGAGAAGACCACAGAATGCTGTTGCTGCTTGCCCACTGACACACTGTCCTCTCTGCAGAGGTCACTCTGAAGGTGCACACCAGTGACTCCAGCACCCACCAGCCCATCCCGGATGCACTCATCGAGGTCTTTGCCAACCAGGTCTCCATTGCCTCAGGGACATCGGGGGCAGATGGCATTGCCTTCATCAAGTTCCAGTATAAGCTGGGCAGTCAGTTAATTGTCACCACCACAAAGCATGCTTATGTGCCAAACTCTGCTCCGTGGAAGCCCATCCGATTACCCGGTAAGGCCTTCTTTATTTTACTGTTATAGTATATGTTTGATATGTGACAAACACATTCACTGTGGAGACCTGGTACACATATATATGTGGCACCTCAGTACTTCACACTTTCCTTCTCTTACCTCCCATCCTCATCCTTTCTCCACAAAGTTCCTATTATCTAACTTTTTGTTTATATTTTGGGTTTGTCATATAAGAAAAATCATGAGACATTTCACCTGCCATGTATAGTATATTTCACTTGCATTCTTAGTCTTTCTCTAAAACACACATCATGGTGCAGGCAGAAACAGTAGTGACCTTGAAGCATGCGTCTGTCCATCAGGCAGATCTGTGTGTGCCTTCTCCACTCTCCTTCGGCACCATCATGTGTGAGCCAGGTGGGGTCAGTGTGTGAGGCTGCCTGGGCTCTGCCTGTTCCTATGCAGGGGAATCAGACACTGCCAGCGTCTGCTCACCTCTCTGGCACTCTTCTTCCCAGTGGCCACGTGGGGTTGGCAGCACATCAGCATGTGCCATCCTCCTCTGCCTCCAGGATCCTCATCCTCAGCTGTCTCAGAGGCCCAGCATGCCCAGAAGGGTAGAAAGGCAGCAAAGCAGTGTGTCCACCACAAGGAGCAAGGGGGGTAGGTGAGCAGCAGCACCTCTGGTTCCTCTGTCCTGCTCCTCGTGCTACATCTTATGCCCAGATTACACTATGTGTAGGCACAAAAATGAGTGAGGTACAAGGCTGGGCTGAGAGTTGGGGACTCACAGGTAGTGTCAAGTGGCTGGCTTGGTCTCTAGCCCCTCTCTATGACCAAACCCCTCCAGCTTCCATGGATATCTCTGTAAAAGGAAGCTAATTCTCCCTTGTAGAGCAGTTGTGACTCTACATTAGTTCATGTAGTTAAACTGCCTTACGCATCCATTGCACAGTATGTGGTCAATAAGTGCAGCTTGGAAGATGCTGCCTGGCCAGATAAGAACATTGGTGCTTAACGCTGACTGGCAGCACCGCTGGACACACTCCCCCAGGACCCTGCTGGCCCTGAGACCTGTGAGCAGCCATGCTGGGGATATTGGAGAGCCCCAGCATCTCCTCAAACTCATGAGATTCTTTTTAAATTTTTGTTTACTTTCTTTTTTTCAGTTCTGGAGATTGAACCCTTAACCTGATCTACATCTCCAGCCTTTTTTCTTCTGACATACAGTCTCACTAATTCAATAGAACCTATGATCCTCCTGCCTCAGCCTGCCTAAGTTCTGGGATTACAAGGGTGCGCCACCATGCCTGGCTTTATTTAACTACTTTCTGCGCTCTGGGAACTGTCTTGAGTAGTAGACATAGACCTTGCCTGAGAAAGTTTCTTTTTTGGTTATGAAATTAGCCTGAAGAATGGATGCATCCACCTTTGAGTGGATGCATCAGAATACTCAACTGGGGGCCACCTGGGTGTGGAAGCACCAATGGTGTTGATTTTGCAGTCCCAAGTAAGCTCTACTATGCAAGGCACATCCACAAATATGATGAGGTGGGTGAATGGTAAGGTGGACCGTGTTTGAGTTACTTTCGAGTCTCTTAATGTGATCATCTGAGGAAATTCAACCATTTATGTAATATCCATTCTCTGTAACAGCAGACTTTCATGGAAAGACTTTGGGAAGGGAGACAGTGTTGGTTGAGAGTTGTATTAGGGAAGTTGTCTCACTATATTATGAAGACTGTTAAGTCCCACAGTAGACTGTCTCAAGCTAACAACCCAGGAAACCAAGAACTTGGCTTGGTTCAGGTCTAAAGGCCCCAAGCAAAGCATTCCAGTGCTGTAACAGTCAGCCTGAGAGGAAGGTCTAAGAGCCCAGGGGCTGCTGATGTAAGTCCCAGAGTCCAAAAGATGAAGAACCTGGAGCTGCGAGTCCCAGGGCAGCAGAAGACAGGTGCCCTGGCCCCAGATAACAATGCACTAGAATTCGCCCTTCACCGTTTTGTTCTGTCGGGGCCCCTGCTGAACAGGAGGCGTCCACCGCACTGACAGCAGATTTTCCCCACTCAGTCCACCCACCCACAGGCCAGACATTTCCTACAACATCACCCCAGATGCCCTGGGGCAGTCAGTCATCCAAATCACATGCTAAGCCACTGGGGTTCCCTTGTAGCAAAAGAGGGGTGGAGCTGGTACCTACGGAAGCTTTTCAAATAAATAATGCAAACATTTAGAACAAATAATGCTTCGCCAGCTGTCTAGACATTGCTTACCTCCAGTCTCATTGACAGAGCCAGCGATCACATGGGCTTGTGCTCTGATAAACAAAGATGGAATCTGGGGTGCTGGGGTGCTGGGGAAGGAGGGTTTCACCAGCGTGGGTGAGTGAACAAGAGATTGTGAAGAGAATATGTGGGTGTGAAGTCCTAAGGTCAGCAGAGCTCTGGATCAGAAGGTATTCATAAAAAGGTCCAGATTCGAGCACTCAGCCATTCAACCTGGAGAGCTTGGCTCAGAAATCTGTATGTTAACAAGCAGCTGTGTGCCCCCCTTCACAAGGTACTTATGGATAAAAATGTTCACGGAAGTTTGAACCCCTGTTCTGTGAGCAATGGAAAGTGGATTTAATGCAAATGTATGCAACTGAGGAGGTCATTAGGAATGGTACTGAGAAAAGGGGAGGGGCCTGAGAAACTTCCTGAGGCAGTATCCAGAGGGATTTGACTAGGAGAATTCAGGGACAGGATGGAGCAGAAGCAGCAAGCGTTGAACTCCAGTTTCCGGCTGGCAGAAGAGTGATAGGACCTTCAGAGGCAGGTGCTGGGTTTGGGGAGCCTGGCACACCATGGTTCCCCACAGTGAGTCACATTGTACCAAGGGTAAAGAGGAGCTGGTAGGGAGATAGCTCAGTGGCATAAGTGCCTGCCTGGCAAGGGCAAGGTCCTGACTTCAATCCTCCATACAAAAAAAAAAAAAAAAGAAAGAAAGAAAGAAAGGAAGGAAGGAAGGAAGGAAGGAAGTGGGCATGATGGTGCACGCCTATAATCCCAGCACTTCGGAGGTTGAGACAGGAGGATCTCTGTGATTTTGAGACCAGCCTACAGGCTACAAAAGTGAGCACAAGACCATCCCAATCTGCATAGCAAGACCCTGTCTCAAAAAAAGAAAAAAAAGGAGCTAACATAGAACCAGGGAGGGCCTGCAAGAGGAGAGGGCATCTTTACTAGGTTTCATCAGAAGGAAACCTTTCAACACACACACACACACACACACACACACACACACACACACACACACCATTTTCCACAGCAGACATCAATGAAATAATGCAGGAGAAGTGCAGGTAGAGTCCACCGGTAGCAGGAGAGAAGCCACCCGGGGACAGCCCATTCACACTGTTCCTGGGCATTAGGGTCTATGAGGTTCTCTTGAACTTGGAGTTAGATACTGAGCTGCCACTGTGAAGGACACACAAGGGAAGTGTATGAGAGCCCCTGCTCACATTTTCATCAAGTGCTCAATATCACTGGTGTCTCTGTTTAAAGACACCGCCTTTGACATACACAGTAATCCACTAACATACTCATGGCCTGCAGCCTGCTGCTCAGCCCCGACCGAAGCTTACCCATCACATTTTTCCAGAAGGCATTTATCAACCTTCTCACACTAAAGATAGCCAGATATTGCTGCAGTACTGTGCTCTAGGACCATGTGGAATAGAGAAAGCACAGCAGTGTAAAAGGCTTGGCAGCTAAATAAGGAGAGGAAAGGAAGGAGTCCAGCAGAATGTGGTCGCCTTGTGTAGCCCTGTGCACCTTGGAGTGGATGTATCAGAATACTCAACTGGGGGCCACCTGGGTGTGGAAGCACCAATGGTGTTGATTTTGCAGTCCCAAGTAAGCTCTACTATGCAAGGCACATCCACAAATATGATGAGGTGGGTGAATGGTAAGGTGGACCGTGTTTGAGTTACTTTCGAGTCTCTTAATGTGATCATCTGAGAAAATTAAACCATTTATGTAACATCCATTTTCTGTAACAGCACAGTTTCGTGGAAAGACTTTGGGAAGGGGTCCCAGGCCTGCTTATCATGCTGGCCCCAGACATAAGCCTGTCAGGGCTGTTGGGCCTGGGAGCCTTTGTTCTACAGTGAAACAGTTCACCTGAATAATTTCTAAAACCTGTCTTTTCAGTGTAATAAAGATATCCTTACCTGGAATCAAACAAGAAGAAAGACCTAAATTTGCACTATTCTCTTCTAAAAAAAAACAAATCATTAGCTTTGTATGTCATTTTTGGATATCAGGTCTAAACATTTTTGGTATTCAAAAAAATTTACCAAAGGAGAGAAACGAGTTGGCGGACTCTTCTCAAGGACCATGAAAAGGATTGCCTGAGCATTCTTCCAATACATTGGGATGAATTTATTTTTTCATCCCTATCAATATTTCCTAGAGGATGTGTTGGGCTTTTCCCCCTTTCATCTAAGGAGCTGTAGATTGTGGTAGGGGGAGCCCAGCATAAAAGGGGCATCCTTCACCTTTGGCAAATGGTAAGCACAAACTGAGTTGATGCAGCCCATTCCCTAGAATATTGTTCTGTAGCATAATGCTTTCTGTCTCTGCAGCCACTGGCCCAGCCTTTTGCCGTAGCTTGAAACTGTCCCAGAAGCCTCAGATCTGCCCTTTAGGCCAATGCTCTACATTGCTGAGCACCGTGTTATGTGTCCAGCTGTGCTGTACATCAGCCTGGAATCCTTGGGAATGTAAAGATGACATGGGGAACCTCTTCTCCTGGCCATGTCCCCTCACCTATCTGTAGGACAGGCCATGCTGGGCTGTGGTGTTCTCTGAAGGAGTCACTGCTCACTGCTGTGTGAGAGAGTTTGCTCCTTCACAGTTAGTTGCCAGCCAACTTGTCTTCTGTCCCATGAAGTTTTCCTGCCTTCCCAGGTGGACTTGAGATGTTCCTTTTAGAGGGGTTGAAGTTTTAGGAAAGAGCACTTACTTAGCAGGGGCAAGGCCCTTAGCAGGGTGC